AAGACAACATGACAAAGGGATGTGAGGAGCGGGGTTAGGGAAGGTAACTGTCTTATTGCAGGTGTGCATCCACCCCCAGAGCCACTGGATCTGGACTCCAGCCATACAATTGTTTCAGCCGACAGGTGAAATGGAAGGTGAAGAGACTGCCCCCACAGGCCCAAACATTGGGCAATCGATGAATACACTTTCCCTTCATGGGTGTAAATATCAGCATCCCCGAAGTAACATGTAAATCACTACTGTGTTAGATAACCCTGGAACGTTTTCTATGTTGGCTGAAATTTGGGTTTTGAGAGAAAATTCCCAGATCTTCTAAATGCCATGAATGGTTGTCTGCACAGTGTGTGGTGATTCCTTCAGCTGTATGAAACCTTGGGCACAGAAAACAACAATGGAGTTACAGCCCTCTCCCATCACACTGTTGAATGAATCTGCTAAGAGTTCTAGCACGGTCCTCTGGGTTCCCTCCAAGACCCCTGTCTTGGACTGACTGGAATATCACCTCCTTATTCCAAGTCTGAATATGTAGTTGTCAGCACTGCTCGAGTTTTCTCTGGTCTGAAGAAATAGAGCAGTGGTTCTCAAACTAGGGCTGCCGCTTGTTCACGGAAAGCCCCTGGCAGGCCGGGCCGGTTTGTTTACCTGCCGCGTCCACAGGTTCGGCCGATCGCGGCTCCCACTGGCCACGGTTTGCTGTTCCAGGCCAATGGGGGCTGCAGGAAGGGTGGCCAGCACATCCCTTGGTCTGCACCGCTTCCCGCAGCCCCCACTGGCCTGGAGCGGCGAACCACGGCCAGTGGGAGTCACGATCGGCCAAACCCGTGGACGCAGCAGGTAAACAAACCGGCCCATCCTGCCAGGGGCTTTCCCTGAACAAGGGGCGGCCCTAGTTTGAGAACCACTGAAATAGAGGGATTTTTCTCCCTGTACTTTATCCAATTGACCCAAACACCCCTTTCCAACTTCAAGATGGTACAGGCAGCCTGGGAAGATTGGACAGAAGCAGAGAGAAGGCCTAGGAATCTGGTAATCTCTCTCTCTGACACCAAATCCATATGCAACACGCTTCTCATTGTTTCCTTATTTTTCACACCTTGGAAGACAGAAGTCTTAGCAGTCCTTGGGAGGAATCAACAAGCCCAGAAATGTTAACTCCAGTGTTGTCTTTTGCTCTTCGCACAACAAAGTAATATGTAGAAATCATACAGACACAGTGGGGTTCCAAATATCATGTTTACTAAATATACAGAAGGTCTAGTTACTTATACATCGTGCTGCTGTGGCTGGTTTTTAAAATATAGAACACAGAGACCTCTAGAGGTCTCACAAACTATTTAAAGGGATACTATCCCATTCCGAAACACTACATTCTGGAAATGCATAAGGAGAGACTGCTTGTAAATTATAACTAAGCCTCTAGTCCTTAGGTAACTTACAACACCACTTAAAATGTTCCTTATCTGTGCAAATACACTGTGCAACCCCAGGCTACCATCATCACTTTTATGATTTTTCTTTCTTTTTTTTTTTGGTGAAGCACCAAAAGGCTAATATCAGAAAGAATTATAGCAAGTGAACTACTTGCCTTTGTTGTCTCTGCTGGATTGTAAAAACTTCAGAGCGTACTTCACTCAGAAATACCAGGCATAGGTCTTTTAGAATGAAGCACACCATCTAATTTCCTTGGGAAAGAATCCTTACCCTTGACATAGGTCACCACCAGTACATGACAGGTTTCAGAGTAGCAGCCGTGTTAGGCTGTATCTGCAAAAACATCCGATGAAGTGAGCTGTAGCTCACGAAAGCTTATGCTCAAATAAATTGGTTAGTCTCTAAAGTGCCACCAGAATATGTAATTCTGTCAGATGATCCTGTTTTCTTTCCAAGCAGAAACAGGTTGCTGAGAAAGGTTTATAATGGAGGCAGCACCTGCTGAATGTACCTCTCTCGCTGTAGAGCAAACTAGCTTCTGCCTTAGTGAAACTAAGTGCAAGGAAGAATTCTGGTGCAGGGTTTCTGAGAACAAGATCTGCAGATTGGTTACTGTCTGCAGGGCTCATAAATCACTGATAAGTTATTTTTCAAGTCTTGGGGGTGCAGGAGAAGGAGGGGGAGAATGAATCCTGCCCCTTTTTGCCAGTGGACTAATGATGAAAAGGATACCCATATAATGCTCATCTGTAGGCTGAGGCTGAACTGGCTTCAATCAACCCATTCATGAAGCTCCCCTGAAAGGTTGCTAAGGAAAGGGAAATAATATTGGGTTCATCTGTTGCCACTGAAGGCCTTGCTGGTGAGCAACCTCTGCTTCTTTCTTCCCTATCAAAAACCTTTCTGACGCTTCGATGTTGTCTAATGAGGTGAACTGTTCGTGCCAATGAACCAAGATAGCCTTTGTATGAACTGTTCACTGAACAGCTTCTCTTTGGCCTGCAGACCATCTTCCAAATGGAATACGGTCTTCTTGGAGTCTACTTCAATGAGGAAAAACCCATGAAGTAACATTTCCTCCAATACTACTGCTGGCTAGTTTCACTCGTTTACTTAAGCATCCAAGCATATCTGACAAGGCCATAACTCTTCAGACATCTTTTAAAAATTACCTTTGTATCCCTTATGGGAACTATCCTACCCTTCCTGTGATCCTAACAGGACTGATCCATATGTACCATGAGTTGGTCATGTTCCTGTATGATTCCTATATTGTCCTGGAAAGGTCATCTGTGTCTTCATCTGACAACATTACCTACTAGCACAACCAAATAGTAAATAAAGTTGCTACATGGATATTAGGGGTCTTCAGTCTGAAGACTTTAATTGTTTTAGCTTCTTTACGTTAAACAACTGCTGACCTTTATCACTAAGCAGGGTTGCCAGTCCCTTGGTTATCAGAAAATGTTGAATTCAAGGGGTCAAAATTGCCTTTAGCCTCCTTTTACTCCTCAGCCTGAGGAGGAGCATTGCATATGTCCTTGGCAGGCTCTGTGCTGCTCAAATCACATCTGTGACCCTTACTGGACTTGGATGTTGAATATTTCTCTTTACATAGGAGTCTAGGGACTTGAGTGAGGACAACAGACATTTCCAGCCTCTCCTTATGGATGCAGATATCATGTAACACTAGAGATATGGCAATGAGTGGCCTCTATGCCTTGCCTTGACATCTGACAATCTGAGAACTGTCTCCACATTCAAAGTGACACTGGAGGCATTACCCACCAATGACCTCACTGTCTGCTCACCCTCCATGTGGCCAACGTCCTCACTGCTAAGGCTTTGGAACCCAGTGGCCTCAATGGCTGATCTGAGGCCCACTGCTTCACAGCAGTGGGGATTAAAGGGTAGAAAAATGTTTAAAAGAAAAGGTTTTCCTTCTGCTCAAGGGCACTGCCTGGCTCTTGGAACTGATAATGAGATGCAGAGCCTTTCACCTCTAGTTTTCCATTTCCAGTCTGGCCCAACTCAGTACTGATCATCAGCTCTCCAATGGTCTAGGGCACGTGGAAACTGAATCATCTTCTGCCACATTAAGAAGAATGCTCCCCCTTATCAGGGTGGAGAGGCAACAGTTAACTGCTTCCTGCTCTGTACCTGTTTGCTGGATAGAGACAGGACTTCAAGTCTCCATTGCTCACTCAAATGGACACTTTTCACAAACACCACATTCACATGCAATTAAACATTCATCCTCCTCACTCTTCTTATGAAAGCAGCAAAAAAAGATGAGCCAGTCCAGGGGTGGCCAACCTGTGGCTCCGGAGCCACATGCGGCTCTTCAGAAGTTAATATGCGGCTCCTTGTACAGGCACCGACTCCCGGGCTGGAGCTACAGGAACCAACTTTCCAATGTGCCGGAGGGTGCTCACTACTCAACCCCTGGCTCTGCCACAGGCCCTGCCCCCACTCCACCCTTTCCCGCCCCCCTCCCCTGAGCCTCCTGCAGCTGATCAGGACGTGCAGGGAGGGAGGGGGGAGGTGCTGATCAGCAGGGCTGCTGGTGGGTGGGTGGGAGGTGCTGGGAGCAGGGGTGGGGGAGCTGATGGGGGGGGGGGGCGGCACTGCTGATGTATTACTGTGGCTCTGGCAATGTACACTGGTACATTCTGGCTCCTTCTCAGGCTCAGGTTGGCCACCCCTGAGCCAGTCAAAAGCACAGGCTTCACAGAGGCAGTAGCAATGTGTAGGAGTGAGAAGAGTGCTCCCTAACCTGCAAACCACTGTAAAGTTGATCTTTTCCCTTGTTTGCTTCTGTGCAGAGGAGCATTAAAGAAAGCCCATTCTGGTTGGAGCACCTTGTAAGATTCTCTTCCCCTCCCCCATCACAACAAAAAGCAATGATTGCAACGATCGGCAGAAAATGTAAAGGACAAGTCAGCTGATTCCTGGCAACACAATAGTAAGATTAGCTCATCTACAGCACACAAACGTGTGTGTATTATATGGGTTTTAAAGTTAAGACAGGCAAAAAAGCTGTGGTTTTCATATGCAATGCTTCTACTCTGTAAAGCAAAAACATGTCTAGTAACTTATTACTTCCAAGTGACTATAAAAAAAGCCTTTTAAAAAACATCCTTTCCCTTGTTTTGAAATCTACATACATCAAGCTTTGTTTTGTACTAGTTTTTCCTGACAACTTTTTGTCCATCATACTGCCATATAGATTTCTTCAAACCCTTTTCTTTTAAACCCACTTGCCTTTTTAAAAAGCCCAAATTAAACAAATCTAAGCGTCTCCCTCCGGAAACCCAGCGACTCCATTCTGTGACTGGCTCCTAAATGTAAAAAAAAAAAAAAAAAAAAAAAAAAGCAATCACACAGCAGCAGCACCAGCCACCGCTGCCTGCAAACAAAGGGGGCAGGGACCTGTTTGCAGGCTGGGTATCACGTTACTCAACCTCCCTTCTCTTTAAATCTCAACCCCCGCCCCCCACAATCGCCACTATATAACTCAGACTGGCAGGTCCTGCTGACCAATGGCAGGGATCTTGCCACTTTTGGCGCCCGGCCACCGTTTCTCCTTCAGCCAATGGGGAGCGGAGATCGAGGTATTACACCCAAGGGGACAGTGGAGCCTCCACCAATGGCAGCAGTGTTATTAAAGAGAAATACTATTATGCTAATAGATGTTTTGCTCTAACTTGGTGAGGGCTTTAAAAGCGAGGCAGCCCCAGGCTCACCAGCAGACTGCCGAGGTTCCAGGCTGGTTGTGCTGGCTGCCCATCGAGCGGGGACGGGTGGAAATCACAGCCCCTTTCTCCCCAGGAGCACCACGTTTGGGTCCCTGCCTTCCCTGGGCGAAGCAGCAGGACCATCATGTCCAACGTGCACCTCTCCAGCGCCTCGGCTCTGGAGCGCTTGGCCGCCCGCAGGACTTTCCCCTTGCACGCCCGCACGGGGGTCTGCCGGAACCTCTTTGGCCCCGTGGATCACGAAGAGCTGAGCCGGGAGCTGAAGAGCAAACTACGGGAGATCAGCGAGGATGACCAGAGGCGGTGGGACTACAACTTCCAGACCGACACCCCGCTGGACGGCCCGGGCAGGCTGCAGTGGGAAGAGGTGGAAGGAGGCTCGGTGCCCGCTTTCTACCGGGAGACGCTGCAGGTCGGGAGGTGCCGCTTCCCGGTGCTGCTGGTCAGGTCCAAGCCAGCTCTGGGGGGCATGGACACTCCCGCGGGGGTTAACCCCAGGGACCCTCACCAGGAGCTGGTGGTGTCCGCGTCCTCCTCCCCCAGCCCCCAGGGTAAGACGGCAGCCCTGGAAAGCACTATCGCGGGGGGTAAAGAGCGGCTCAACCAGGAGAACCGATCCGATCAGCTCAACAACTACTCAGGGATTACAATCAAACCCGCACCCTGCGCGCCAGCGGCGCTCAAAAGGGTCTCGTCCTCCAGCGCAGCCCACATCACAGGTAAGGCTGGGGCATGCCCCGCGCACGGCACGGGCGCAACCCTCCCCCCTGTCGGGCTCTCTGCGCTTCAATCCCCCTGCCTGCCCCTGGGGTTTAAAGGGCCCCGGGCTTCGCTCGCTCCGCGAAAAGGCTCGCGGCGCAGCTCGCTGGGGCCGGGCTCGGCGCCCGGCCGGGGAAACGCTTACACAGCACATTGCGCGCTGCGGGCCGGCGAAGTAAACAAACCCGACCCAGCTGCAACCCTCCCCCGAGGCAGAGAGGGGGAGTCAAGAGCCGCCAGGCCTCCCGTGCGCACTGTTATGCGGGGGCCCGGGCAGGGCGGGGCCCGGCTGCTGCAGGAACACGTTCGTGTGTCCGTCCGTCCCCGCCGCGGGGGCCGCCCCTGGGGGGGGAGGCGGCGGCGGCGGCGGCCGGGGTGCGTGGGTGTGTGTAACGCCTCGCTCCTGCCTTGGGTCCCTAGATTTCTTTGTCAAGCGGAAAAGGCCGGGGGACTCCAAAGCGGCCTGCGACCATCCCGGCGGGTGTCCCGCCTCAGCGCCCGCCGTGCCCGCCGAGCAGACGCCCCGGAAGCGGCTGCGGTGAACCAGGTGAGCGCCCTCCCCGGAGACCAGAGCGAGCCCCCGGCGGGCGGGCGGGCGGCCCCCCGAGCCACAAAACCCAGCCGCGGCGGCAGGAGGAGGAGGGCGGCTGCTGCTGCTGCCCAGCGGCGGGGCGGGCCTCGGGAGGGTGCTGCTGGGCCGGGCCTGGGGCGAGGGCCGTGTCCGGCCTGGCGCTGCGCAGCGGGGCCCCACGGAACGCCTCTCCGCGGGGCGTGCGCGCCGCCAACCCAGGAGCGGGGCCTGAATCTCACCAAAAGCTGGGGGGCGGGTCCCCTTGGAAGGCGGGCCAGGCTGCCGCCCCGCTCTGCCAACGCACACGGGAAGCCACTTCCCCGGGGGGAGCCGGGGCCGCCCCGCCCTTGTGCAAGCCCCTCCCCGCTGATGGGTGAGCTGGGAAGGAGCTGGTTTCGCTGACTCATTCGCCGAGATGGAGGGGCAGATGGGGCGGGGTCGGCTGAGTTACTTTGTGGCCGCCGGGGGCTCTGTCTGTGGCTGCTGGGAGCAGCAGTCGCGGTTACTTTCAGTGGATGTTCCTGAAATTCATAGGGCTGCTTCGCTTCCCTTCCCCCCTTTTCTCCTCAGATTTTGCACTATGACACCCTAAGGGAGATTTTGCTTCGTCTCTGGAGGCGCGGAGCCCAGCGGCTGTTCTGCCCACGCTTCGGCAAGGGGCAACTCTCAAGGGAGCTGGAGCAAGGAGGATTAAGATCTGGGCTCCCTACACCCTCTCCCACACAAGGAACTGCATGTAGTGAGAGTAGCTCTGACTACAGCCACGGACGGAGCAGTGTTAATTTACAACTGTGCAATGTATTGCGTTTTATATATAAATGTATTATGCCTAATGTGAGTACACTGGCCAGAAGTGTAAAGCTTTAAAGTCATTTATATGAAATGTTTAACCTTTGCTGATCTCTCAGTGCAAAAAAAAAAAAAATGTATATTTGTACAAATTTTTTTTAAGAGTTATACTAACTTATATTTTCTATTTATGTCAAATGTGGATAACGTTGGTTGATACCCAATAGGCTGTTTGTTTGTTTTTCTTTTGGTTAAGCCAAAGGGCACTATATTTGCTTTTATTTACAAAATGTAAATTTATTTTTATAGTGGGTTTTTTTTTTTGCATTCACAAAATGTAGCTATAAATCAAAAAATTTAGTTTTTACTTGAAGACATCTGTTTCAATGGTTCCTGAGCCGGTCTGTACCACTGCCATTGCAAATAATGCCACAAAGTTCAAATAAAAAAAAAAAAAGGAGTCCAAAATCTATTGCTGTTAATTCGTATTAAGGAAACATCTAGTGGAACACAAGTGACAGAAAATGCCCTAGTTTGCAAACATTAGAAAACACCTGTGTAAGCTTAAAGTTACTCCTTAGAACTCAAACTGTCTTTCCATTCCACTAACTCATTCATTCTCACACTCCACAGCTGCTGGGGCAGGGGGACACTACAAAACAAGGCCAATTTCCATACCTTTGTAAAGTAAGGTGCTCAAAGAACACAAGGATTGTGGTACAAAGAATCTCAGGATAAAAATGTGCACCACCCCACCAGCCACTATAAATATTTAAAAAACACTTTGCGTCTCAGTGCCTCATCCGTACATATTGTGTAGCATAACAGATTTTTTCTAGTGGTGAAGATTGTTAGAGGCACAATTCTATTCCCCCATATACTGTAAGTACACAGTTGATTAGCTGTCCATGGTATAGAGGAGTTTAACTTTCTCTAAACCAGTAGGGTTGTAGCCACTGCTGGAGTTAGCATGAATCTAAAATACACTACATTAACAAAAAGTTACAATCCCTCAAGCCTTGCTTTTATAATTCATATAGATAACATTTACATACAGGTCTAGACAAAGTTCTGGCCCATTTAGTTCAGGAGAAGACTGAATTTATGTTCAATACAATGCCTTTTAGCATTGTTTCATGCTCCCTCTTTGTGGGGAGGGATATTTATTTTGTAAAGCATCTTGCCATCCATATAAAATTAGCTCTAATGGCTATTTTTTAAACCCACTTATGCTGCAGTTAAATCTGCCCAAAGTGCAACTGTAGGATGGCACTGTCAGGCGCTTCAAGTACCACTACCGTGTGCCAAGCTTTGACACACCCACACACCATTTGCAAGGATTTGAATGGTCTGATTCAAAAATCTTCCAGTGACCCATTATTTACAGATCAGTAGCATGATAAACCATAGTGGCTCCTCTGCTGTGTCAATGCATTTAGGGAGTTCTTAATCTTTGACACAATAGATGGAGCCTTTCTGCTCTTGTTTGGAAAGTTTATATATTTAAAAAATTTTACACAGCATTATCTGGCATCACAGTATTGTATGCATCAAAAGACCACATGCCCAGCAATAGCTTTGTAAACTACAAAAACAAAAAACCCTTAACTTGTATTTGATTCACTGTTGTATTGGAACACAACATCTTAATTGCAAGAAAGTGCTTCCTGGTATAGCAATTTAAATCGAGACTATGTGCTTATGAGTCAGCTATAAATCCTGAAAAATATAGTCTGTAATAGAAATGGTAACATACAATCGTGCTTGTTAACTATAACATAGGGTCTAGTTATTAAAAAGCCATAAATCAACATTTTAGTATTAACATTTTACTGCCTATTTTGTCACAAAAATGGACAAATATCACAACCTATTGTCAATTAAGTACACTACCTCTGCAGCCCTGATGAGGTTGAAAACATGGGGGACTATTACCAAAATAACCCCACTTTAAAATCTACACATGGAAATTACTCACAATCCAGGCAGCATTAGCATTCTCTCTCTCTCTCTCTCTCTATATATATATATGGGGTGGGAAGGAAGGTTGTAAAGCAGGTCTAAAAAGCCTTCCGGGCATAGTATTCTGTGACTAATATATATATATATATATATATATATATAAATTGTCACTAATTTTTCTTTAAATTATTTAGATTTACCAGTTTTGAATGGCTGGATATTATTTTCAGGATTTTCTGCACTTACATAACTTGAAAACATATACACACACAAGTTGTAGCTCAGTGTAATTAGGTAAACTATACAAAAAATTAGTTTGAAAGTGGGTGTGTGCGGTCAGTACGTTTTCCTAGTAAACGTTTGATAATTTTTTTTTAAAAACTGTCAATATCGGTGCAAGCAAACACAATAGCATAGAAGAGGCTACAAAGGCAGGGGTTTAAAGTTGTAGACTACCAAGGACCTGACAGAGTTGACGGCCAAATGCCAGCCAGGTTTCCAACAGTTTCACTCACACGTAGGAATGAGGAGTCAACCCACATTTCCCATCTGAAATCTCTTGCCCATGTGGTTTAATGCAGGCTCTTAAGGTAACGCTTACATGGAGTTTTAGCAGCTGAATTTCCTTTGGTTTTTACGGTAATTTCTGAGGTTGGATTATATTAGCCTTTATGTACCTATAAAATACTCATAAGTGGTTTAGTGACCCTTTTGACTCCTCCCCTCTAAACATCGCTGTATTTAATCTGGCGAATTGAAATCTCTGTCCTGCCCCTCTCCCCAAGTTAAATCCAGCTGCTGATTTATACCGCTGAGCTGAAACTTGCGGTTCCCCAATTAATGTCTCAGCGCTAGCTGAGAGGGGCGCAGTTTTAAATCCTGGGCTAACCTTAGGCAGGGAGAAAAGTGGCTGGCGGTGAAGGAAGCTTTAGCTGAGCTGATCCACTGTGTGGGGAGCTGGGGAAGCACAGAAGGATTTGGAGACAGGGCAAAGACCCGGGAAAGGAGCAAGAGATCCAGGGGCCGAGGACGGAGAGAATCCGGGACCGGGGCAGAAGGATCCGGGTTGCCCAGTCAGGAGAAGGAGACGTTCCCGATTCATTCCTTCCCCCAGCCCCCGTTTAGGCCCGGCTTCCGTTCAAACACTCCTCCTTTCCCCCTACAAAATCCCCAAATAGCACAAGCGCCGCGGTCCGTCTGGCTGAGGACTGCGGTTTCACATGCTTTGCAGCCTCCTGCCATGCACTCCTGCAGCGGTTGTGCGGACAAGTCCCTGACTCCTATTAGCGATCAAAGCCACTATTTCACGATGCCAGGGAGGAGGAATAAAGCTTCCAGCGGCCAGCACGTTTTGCCCGAAAGGCAATCACCTTTATTTCAAAGTCAATCACGCGAGCCCCGTGCGTAACATTGATTACCTCAAAACGAGATGATCACTTAATCAGAACTAGATTTTATGGTGCCTGCATCAATGGGTCCTGATTCAAAACGATCTTCTCCTTTGAAAAGAAAAGAAAAGAAAAAAAAGCTTTTCCCTTTCTTATGAAAAGCCAGCAATACACGGAGGGAGGCAGCTGGATCCTCCAGGATTTATGGGCTTTTCTCTTGCTTTCATGGAAGCAGGTGCCTTTGGGACTTCCATTGTCTCCGCGTCTTACTAATAATAGGACCTTCTGAAATGAAAGATCCATACTCTGTGTAGCCTTCAAAGACCTCGTATGGCGGAGCCACAGTTTGCACAAAGGTGCAAAAACCCACCCCAAGGCAGAAAGCGTTGGAGGTTTCAAGGGAGTTTATTTATTTGTGTTAAACGCTCATTTTCTTTACCCCAACGCAATTGTTTCGAAGGACTGCTAGCAGGAAGCGCTGGGAAAAGCTTGGAGCGCTAGAATGGGAGAGGCACAATGAGCGTCTCCGCTCACTTGTACAGAATCCACCACAGAGCGTTTCTCCGCGCACACAGAATTGAGTCTAGTCAGTCTTTGTTTTTATGAATTTTCCAGTCCCGACTTTCTCTCTCCTCCCCCCCCCCCCACCATGCAATTTTAATTTCCCGGCAGGGCCTGTACCCAACCAGTGAGAGTGGCCCTCTGTTTGAATGACTTGGTCTTGCGTTTGTGGTAAAAGAGAAAATATTTTTTGTATTTATTTTTGCTCCCCCCCCCCCCCAGTCCTTATCTTTTGGAAGGTGTGCAGCCCTGCTTCTCCTTTAGAATCTCCTGCTCCACCCAGCTTGGCACTGCCTTCTTCTTATTCCCATCACAAAGCACACTGCCCCTATTCTTCTGGCCTTTGTAGCCATATGGCAAATCCATGTAGACACAGCCAACATCCATTTATTCAGGCACATAATGTCCCGCAACAGGGAACAATTGGAACTTTGTTTGCTTCTATTATTGATGCGAATGGGCAGAGAGAGAGAAAAAAATCATTTAACTATAAGAGATATCCAGCTAATTATGAGCCATATGTGCCTATAGTTTCAAAGCAATCCAATGAAGTTCATTTTAAATCTAGACTACTTTATTAGGTATAGAAGACAGATGTCCCAACAGTACATGCATCAGAGGAAACCATGTAAAGAAGTTCTTGAAATATTTAACTGGAGCTCATTCACTGTGAGAGGGACTTTAAAGTGCCCTTTATCACCAGGATACGTAGGGGAAATTCAGGGGAGATTTCTAATCCCCATTGCCAAACAATTACCCTAAAAACCATTCCAGCTTGGATTCTAGGAGAGAGATTTTTTTTTGAAACAAACATCAGGCTCTTCATAAAATTGTTTATGCAGTGCAAATCCTGGCCGAAGTCAGATGCTTATCTGAGCTGTATTGAACCTAGAACGAAGAGCAAAGCAACCCAAAGAAATCGCTCAGGTTTCCAGTGCAGAGAGCTGCGTGCTTCCTAAAACGGTGGTGCACTTTTACTACTATGCGAACTGGGAGAAGGGGTTTATTATTTTCAGACCTCAGCGATTCGATCATTGAGAGTACCCTTAAGTGAGTATCCTGCAGTGCAATGCGAAAGGGAAACGGCACTGCAGGGAAATTAAAGAGAAACTCGTTAGAGAAAATTCTTTATGAAATGCAATTATTGGCAGACTCTCCAGCTCTGGACACCGCTCTTTCACCCATAAAGCCAACTATCTAGGTTAAAGGATTAGCGTTATCTTTAGCAGTGATTGCAACATCTATTAGTAATTAAAATATTTCAGTTAGTGGAAATGGTTGGCTCTAGAAAGCTTCCTTTTACATCAAAATTATTGAAGAGCTTTGATTGTTTTCCCCAAACCTTGTTGTATTTATATCACTTTTTAAAAAAAGCCATTTCCCCACCTTTAAGCAAAGAATCATCTCTCTTCAATGAGCAAGAAACATTCAGTATAAATAACACAAAAAAATTTCAATTTTTTAAAGAATAAACTTCCTACATTCAAGAATCAAGATAGAAAATTTCTTCCTAAGCATCCAGTTCACACCAACTGTATCATCCGCCTTG